ATTGATGCTATATTCCTAGCATGCATCAGTGTGTTTTCGATGAACTGGTCTGCAAGTGCTTTGTAGTTGAGCTTGTTACCAATATAACTTCCTAAGAACCTGATTGGGATGCCATTAGCAACTGGCCTAAGCGGGCAGTTGGGATTTGGCTGTTGGTCATGGGAGCTAGAGAGAAGGAGCTCGGTCTTGGAGATGTTGAAGGCTGCATTTGTACCTAGGCAGTAAGTGTCAAGGGCCCCTTGGAGTTGGGGATAGTAGTCAAGAGAAGAAAGGAAGACCACAGTATCGTCCATATAATATCCATGAGTAAGAGTAGTGTTGTTGAGTGTTAAGAAGGCCTGTTTAGGAAGGTAGTGGAGGAGTGCGCAACCGAGGAGTTCCATGACCATTACGAATAAAGTACATGAGAGTGCATCACCTTGTCTGACTCCATTGGCAATCCTAAAAGGCTTAGAGTCTTGGCCATTTACCATCACGACTGATTGAGCAGTATTGTACAGGGCCTTGATCATATCAATGAGCTGGGTGGGTAAGCCATAGTTGTGAAGAAGTGGAAAGAGAAGGGCCTGGGAAACTCTATCATAGGCCTTAGCCTGGTCGAGAAAGAGAAAGGCCGCAGACTGTTTTTTGAGATCCACTAGTTGTTTGGCTGCAAGGACATTGAAGATGGCATCCTTGATCGACCTGCCTGGGATAATGGCTGTTTGCTGTGGAGAGATCAGTTGTGATATGGGGGATCTAGCTCAAATGGTAGAGCGCGCCCTTAGCATGGGCGAGGCACTGGGATCGATGCCCAGGTTCTCCACAACTTCTTCTTCTTTGGGATCTTAGCTCAGCTGGGAGAGCGTGAGACTGAAGTTCTTAAGGTCCGGTGTTCGATCCACCGAGATCCCAATCCTTTTGTTCTTTTTGGCGACTGGGGAATAAGCCGAGAGTCGGTGCATTTGCAGTTGTTGTTTTTGGATCTGACTGCGTTAAAACGGCAACATTCTTTTGGATTTGGGAAGGAGGATAGCCAGCATTCCATCATGATCAATTATCTATTTTCATTGCTCCTCTCTTTTGATGGTAAGCAATACCAGTCTACAAAAAAAAGACTTGGATGATTGATCTGCTGGTCATAACTATCGCAGCAGTGGTGACTGTTTTGGTAATCATAGCTCAGAAATGTCCTTGTTAGTATGTATCCTGATCCGATTATGTCAACGATGAACTTTTCATACACATTGAAAGTACTAAGCCCAAGTCATGCTACCTATTTAACCAGATCAATAAACAGAGTATTGAAAAAAAAACATAATTGAATATTCATAAGTACATGCTGCATCAAAGCAGTCAAATTTGTGTGGGTATGAGTTTACTTTAATGTTGATCGTTGTTATTGTGGCTGCTTAGAAAAGTCTTTGCATCTCAAATAATATTACACGCGTGTATCAATATTGTTGATGACAGAAATTCTGGTCTTGTAATTTTGCTTGTATTCAAAAGTATGAAATATTAAACCAATGGTTGTAAAATATTAAAACACTACAACAAAATAACCAAAGTAATACCAGGTGCTCCCACTTGGTCCCCATAGTAGTACTCTCCTGGCCATAAGCAAACTTGGTTGTGGTGGTCGGATAAGACCTGCCCTTTTCTCTTGTATAATTGCAATTCGAAATGTGATGTGGTGGCCTAAGGGCGTTCCTGAGCCTCTTGGCTCACAAGGGGCCATAGTTGTTTAATGGGCGATACCAGTAACTGTTCCAATGGTTATCAGAATTTAACAATGGTCAGTAAGGCAAGAAAGTAGTCAGTGAAAGTTAAACAAGTAAATCTGTCCATGTATTTTGAAAAAGATGACTACGCATATAGCACAATTATAGGTGAAAAGGTTCTAAGATGTATGCACCTAATAATATAACAAATATTAATATGGGCTCAATACTACAGCTATGTTAAAGTCATAGACAAGGGAAGCAAGTGAATAAAGGAGTCAAATGCAAATCACAATAATTACAGAGAGTTGCTGAAATGTCGCACACGTCATGGATATAAGACTTTCCATGACAAAAATGTAGAGTTCATGGTGGGCTTTGAATATGTGTTACTCAATTTCTCGAGTACTATTATGGGTCATGACTGAAATATCATAATAAAGGGAAATAGGGATTAGTAATAAAGGAATTCATCGTATTCTCAGAAGAGTCAGCAACAGAAAGGACCAGTATGCCCCTTAAATTGGTTAAAAGCCCTGATGGGCTCTAAGCAATTCCACCGAGCTCCTTCTAAACTCTCTGGCCTTGCTACTGTTGCAGGCCATGCAATGACAAATTTTGATTCAAGAATTCCTATTCAGTTTCGTCCTATAATCAGGGATTATATTTCACACTCGTAGTTGTCACAATACGCAGATAAATTCTGAAATACTATTTTGTACCTTTTGGATATCAGAAGGAAACCCTCCATCTTTATGTTGTCACTCTATTATAACTATGTCAACTGTTTTAAAGAATTAGTTTGACACTCCTCTTATTTTTAATATTGGTGTAATTTATAAGCTACTGTCTTTTTCATATATTTTAAACTAGAATGCTTATTTAACTTTATCTGTCTTTGTAGGCATACTATAGAAATAATGATTCTTTGTGTCAATGAAGTAAAGTCACAAAAACATGTGATTTTTGGACTTTATATTTGTTTTTTTGAAGAATTTTCATCACACTAGAATATCATTATCTACATTGTTCTTTGCAGTAGAAAACATTTGAAAGAACGGAGGAGAGCTTTGGAAAGTAACATCTAGGAAAGATTGCCTTAACATAATTCTTGTCTCTGACCCAAGTTTCCTGTATAAATTAGCCCCAATGGATCCATCACAGTATATTGGCCTAACCTACTTCACGCTTTAGGTCCCTTCTCCCACACAAATCACACTATACAATGTCTTCGCTGCCATCCGATATTATGCTTAATGTTTGTAGATATCTGCATCGAACTTGTAATACAGACACACTAAATAATCTATCACAATTGTCACCCGACTGGAAAGCAACTGTTTACCGGTATAAAGCTGAAAGCATAAAAAGCGGAGAGCTGGGCCTGTTTCACTATACTAGTTACACATTGGCGTCTGATATCAATTTGGATGATTTCTGCACTTTTACCAAAAAAATCGTAATAAAGCCAATTCCTGAGTCTTTGGGGAAAGATCATTTTGAAACCATGATGATGACAAGACATTTTCCCAATTTAAAAGAAATCGATGCACATTGTAACGAAAGCAATATAAATAAAATAAAGAGGTTTTTGCAACTAAAACACCATGACCATGTCGAGAAATTAGCCATAACGGCATATGACTTTGGTGTTCTTGATAAAATATTTGTACCAGGTCAATATGAAAATTTGAAAACGCTAGAACTAGCTGTGCCCAACAGCCCTGTATCTCTATTCAAGGTTTTGGAGTACTTTCCAAATCTAGAGAAGCTTTGTATACCACCAGTTTTTCCTTTCCTTTCGCCAGTCTCGAAATTTCTATCCAAAGATCCTAAACATTCTGATGGTAGAGTATATCCGAAATTGACATCGATTGCTTTTTCTGTTTACATCCTTGCAACCATAAATACCAAGCAAACAGGACAGCAGTTTGAGAGCCTCAAGCAGTTGGGAGCAATGCTTCCAAATATCAAATCGCTCAGCCTTATCTCAGGATCATTCTTAATTGGACTCTCTCATCAGTATAAAACAAACATGTATAATGCATTTGGAGCAGTAATCTCGGGGTTTAAAAACTTGAGGAATTTATGCATACCACTTATCAACGAATCCGTTGTTGACAACATTGAGCAAAATTGTCCTGATCTTGAGAGCTTATCACTACATTTCCCTAATATAAGTAACTCGATGAGGTACATTTTGCCATTACAAAAGCTATTGGGGCTATCAAGTTTGACCAAACTCAGAAAATACCAGTTCTACATATCCAATTCCACTCCAGCAGCTATAAAAGGCGACTGCCTTTTTATTAAGCCTGAAAGAACTGATCTGGCCAATGATGATACTACTGCCTTGTCTCCAACCAATTTAATCGATGTCGGTCAATCTGATATAAGATCTATCAGTTTTTCCAGAATTGGATTTAGTCCAAGAATACTTTATTTGTTGGAAAAATATCCACTACTTGATAAGCTTGATATAAATATAAGCAACTTTTCGGATATTGAGTCTGTTGTTGAGAGCAATGTGGCCTTAAAAAGCGTTATATTGCTCTCCATATACGTCTTGAAGGAATATACCACCAATGAAATCGTAATGTTTATTAAGCTATTTCCAAATGTTAGAGTCGTCAAACTGCGTCTGTACAATGGAACAGAAACACTAAAACAGCTCAAGGGCCAGCTTTCGAATATTACTTTTATAGCTTGTTAATGAACCCGTTTATCTTTTTTGTTGCTGTCATTTATAGCCATCATAACAAAATAAATACAGCCGTTGGTAGTACTAAAAATAGTGTGGTTGAGATTGACTCATATATTCTTCACAACACTCTAGTAGAGGCTTAACTGAATATTGCCAATACACTAAATTAGTATTTCGGACCCACATTGGGAAAGGAGATTCCGTAAAATGGTTCGAATGTATATATGGGTAGTTCTTTTTGAAGGGCTAAATGCAGATAGTGCATAATGATATATTGATCAATGAAAATATATGGAGACCAGTATGCAAATTGAAACTGGCCTACTATAGTAAAAACTTAGCCCTTCAAAAACAACATCCAGTATTAAGCCCCAATTTGTAAAAATATATTTATAAAGCAAAACCAAAAGAATGATATTGTAATAGTAATAAAAGAAAAATAAATATGATGTCAATGTTGGGGTGTAGATTATATAATGATGTAGTAAAAAGATGATGCCATTATTAAAAATTTACATTACAATACGTGGAATTTGAAAGTTAAGTGTTGGGGGAGTAGAATGAGGAGGAGATTTTAATGTTCCCGTCGTAATAGAATTTGGGATATCGTCATCATTACTAAGTTCTTTGGTTGTATCAGCACTGTTTCTTCCACTATAGATAGTGGTATTAGCGATGCTGCCGCTGTGGTTAGACGAAGATCTTCTTCCACCGCCATTTCCAGATGATGAGATCAAGGTCGATATCGAGTCTGATGAACCCTTGCGATAATTGTTTTCTAGCTGGTATTGTAATGGCGATGGTCTAATGGTTGGTGATGTGTGAATAAGGCCCATGCCAAATTTAGTCTTTAATGAGTTGTTGTTGTTGTTACTGCTTGGCGATGATGATTGTTGCGATGGTTGCATAGGGGAGGAGGATTTTGACTTTGATTTTGTGTGTCGTTGAGTACCCGAAGGTGTCGTGATGGCTTGATAAGCGCGAATTCCTCGATGCTGGACCTGGCTAAGCTTTCCCAAGAAACCACTTTGCTGCTGCTTTTGCTTTTGGTCAGAATTTGGTGTGCTACTAGTTTGGCTTTGTGACAATGGGCTACTGGACTTTTTCTTTGGCGTATCTAGAGACACTTTTGGTCTTTCAGAGTCAATAGACTTTCCATTTGTTTGGAACCTGACCTTACGTCCAGCCGGTGATGATGATGATGATGTTGATGAGGCGGTGGCCGTGGACGATGTTGATGAAGCACCGACACTACTCAACCTAGGGCGATTAGGCCTTGTAGAATTTTGAATGGGTCTAGCACTGCTGCTGTTACTAGCTGTCCGTTGGGTCGTTGATGATGCGCCAGAAACTGTTGGCTGATAAAATTGTAAGCGAGCAGCAATATTTGCTGTGGCGTCAGTACCGGAATAAAGACTGGCCATAGATCCATTGGTTTGTACAAACATGGTTTTCGGCACAGTCAAATCGACCATTGAGGGCGAAGTTGC